CATAGTAAAGAAAAAAACAGAATACTGACTTACAGGTGACTGTTATTCATTCTATTTCAACTTAATATAAGGTAAGGCATTACATAATACGTAGGGTGTCATAGACAAAACCGAATGGTGTGTAGGACAACATACATATAGATATAGATGAGTTATATATAAAAAAGGATGTGAAATGAAAGGTGTTTAGTTTATGAATACATATGGATAAGAGAATAGGCGGTAATAGTATATATGAATTTAGTGTGCCCATATATCCCGAGACAATGGTGCTCATGAGGTTAATACTTTATAACTGATGACTGTATATGAATGAGATAAGGAGCAAAAATGTGATTCAATAGAGCATTCACAACAAGGGGTATCTATGTTGGATATATATATATATATATATATATATTAAACTGTATGAAAATAAACACCACAAAAATATTAGATATGGTAGGCAGTTTTTGATCTGATGTCAAACACGTAACGTACCTGACAATGAGGTATCCCACTAGATGACTAAATAAGAATTGAAGATTTCATAAAAATTCAAAAATGTTCATCAATATATGCATAAATATACGGTGAAGAATTACTGTGTATCCATCTAACTCATAAAGAATGTCTGTCTGCTTTCAACATAGAACTATGCACCGATGTGCAACAGTTCAAGTCGCCACACTTCACTCAGCACACAGAGCAAGAGAAGAAAGTAAAAAGAAATGCAAAATAGAGACAGTAAAAAGGGATATGAGACAAACGGAATAGTAATAACGAAGAACAACATAGTTTCATTGGATATTATAAGTCACAAGGAGTGGATGCATCCGCATTAGCCATTGAAAACGATTTTGAGCCATATCACCAATTGTTTCCAGCCATTGGTTTTTACCGTCCCGAAGACCCAAACCAGGAAGTCTACACCTTCCTACGTGGCTGGTTTAAACTAAACTGTTGTAGACTTCATTGACTGGTGCCATATTTTTGTTTAACCGCCGCTAGCTCTTTCCCAACCTGATCCTACGTCAGTCAGTTAACATTGCTCGTCGAGGAAGGCGATTGATGGCTAGGCATACGTAACACATATCTTAACCATCTCAGTCGATGTAGCTTCACAGCCTCGTCGATTGAATTCCCCTCCTTACCTAGCACTCGATGCATAACCTCAGTACTGCTTACTTTACTGTACCACTTCACACGGGAGATACAACGCAGGCACCTATGATCAAAGACAGCTAGCCTTTGTATATCCTTCACTCTCAATGGCCATGTCTCAGCCATAAAGGAGGACGGAGCAAACTTCTGAGCGGTACAAACGCCCTTTAGTCGATAGCCGGATATCACGCATATAGAATGAACTACTGACCAGTTTGTAAAATGATTAAAAATATAGTGACAATATAAATTTTGTATTAAAATACAATAATAGATATGCAACGGGAGAAATACTGCAGAAACACATAATAACAATGAAAGAAAAGAGATGTACTCTTTGCATTCACGAGAATGTTCTTATATCCAAGCATAAGTAAGGATAAATATTGGGGTGGTGAAATCACGGTAATGCAGCAAAAGAAAATAACTCGATTTATAATCAAAGACAGAAACGAAAGAGATAAGCAGCTAGGTTTAGAACTACCTAGAGTCATCTATGCTAAAGTCATAGTGCTAACAAACACTGAATTAATTTCAGTACAAAGGACCATAATCAATCTTGGCTACTTCGAGTCTGTCTGGCTGACTAAGCCAATAGGTAAACAATGCTAGCTTTGGAGCCTATTTGCAAATCGCACAATCCAAGGTTCACTAAGCATATTTTCAACTTTCTCCTGTTGTGATACCACTGAGATTATTCTGGTTGAAAATTTTTCAAAAAACACTATGCCCGACGAAGCCGAATTCAAACGAATACGATTGCAAGCTTAGATGCATGATGTTACATCTGTCTGTCTGTCTGGATTCAACATAGAACTCGGTACCGAAGTGCAGCAGTTCGAGTTGCCACGTTCCAAATAGCACACAAAAGTAGACAAGAAGATGAGTGAAGAGAATCAATAGAGTTTGACAAGTATACGAGTGAAACAGAATGGGTAATGGTAGAAAGGAATATGAAAGATTACAGAGACTGAATACATCTGCGCTGGCCATTGACAACGATTTTGAGCCATGTCACCTATTGTCTCCAGCCATTGATTCCTAGAGTCCCGAGGGCCCCAACCCGGAAGTCTGCATCTCCCTACCTGATTCAGTTTAACTGTCAAGGATTTCATGGATTGATGAGGCAATGTTTTTGTTTGGCCACCACTTACCCTTTTCCAACCTGCACCTATATCAGCTAGTAATGCCCGTCGGGGGAGGCGATGGTTAGGCATGCGCAGCACGTGACCTAGCCATCTCAATCTATGTAACTTTATAGCCTCGTCGATTGATTTTCCCTCTTTACCCAACACTCTACGCCTGACGTCAGCATTACTTACCTTATTAAACCATGATGTTACATACTAGTCTGTTTGACTGATATAAGTAGGTGGACACAAATCATAGCCACTCATAGTGCTTTCTAATCAGGTCGAAGTGATGTAAACACCGGACGGCCGTTCCACTCATTTGGGAACTAACTCACCAGCAGTCTATCGGGTTTTGATTGTATGCTCACTTTCTTGATTGTCATTTGTGGTATCAAACAGATCTCATAGTATGTGATCCGCATACTTTCGATTTCCGGAGGAACTGTGTAAATTGTAAATCACGAATTTGAATAAAACTGCCATTCAATACTCAGAAAAATATTCTCATATAGGCAACCAATAGTAATAGGTTGACAACAACATTTTTTCCAGACTCAAGTCAGTTATTATTGGATAGCTAAAGTCAATCAATGAAAAGCCCTGGACTAAATTTATACATTTCACAAAACATTCATCACCAAAGAGTATTAGTAACCTCGATGGAATTTATCTCCCGAACCGCATCAACCAATGTTGCAGTTTGAAATATTATCACTGAGACACCACTAACCTCACTGACTATAATACTAAGCTGACACGGATCGAGTCTCTAAGAGCACTTTTATTCCTTTAAGTAGGTAGGTAGGTACGTCTTGCTGACAAGCATCATCTGGCACGAAACCTTAGTCTCCGGATATCTGTTGACTGTTTCCGCCCACCTCACATCAATTTCAAATGCACTAAAATGACAAGTGCCTATAACTTAGTGACCATGAAATTGAGAACTAGACACACATGATACTGGTTACACCCTAGTGACCAGTCAACTTAATTTGTAAGTTATTCCACTTCAATAAACTTTCATTAACCTATTCAATATCAATGAGTATTTTGTTTATCACGATTTTAACTTAAATATTATACAGAATCTAAGATTGTAATACAATCAAACCAGCTACCCTTAGAAAAAATATGAGAAGAATACCAAGAGAATTATGGATTTTATGTGGAAAAAAACCGGAGAGGAAAAAGGAAAGGAAAAAGGTGTAGCAAAGAGTAAAAGAAGTCTGCAAAGTGACCATAGCAATAACAACACACACTAGGATATCACTTAAAAGGGTTCATGATTTTGTTAACTTCTTATTGTTGATTATTATTGTTGTTTCTATTGAAGACTTATTCTACTTTAGGAAAATTTCACTTTTCAATCAACTGAGATGTGTGCGTGCGTGCGTGTGTATGCGTTTGTAGAAGAGGATCAACAGGCAGACAGGCAGGCAAACGACTGAGTAAGTCAACAAAATAAGCGAATTAGTTTCTTTAAAACAAAACACAATGACATATGAATAATAAAAGGTATTACACACAAAAAGGAAGCTAAAGTGAACAAAGAGATACATACACAAGGAAAGAAAGGGAGGAGGGAAATAGCGATAAAGAGAGGGGGAGGGAGATGGGAACCAAACTTCAGATCATTTCTATCTATAATTCTAAGGAAGTATTACAAATTCTTATTTACACAGGAAAATGAATATGTATACAAATTTATAAACAAAGCAGAAAATGGACAGTGAAAATATATGCCCCAAGAAAAACAATACAAGAAAATAGCGATCGTTTTGTTAGTGGTTATACTACGGAAATGAAACAAATAAACAAGCAATATTATTTCAGAGCATATATATATATAGGTACTCATTGTACTCTTTCTACGAAGTGATACATATAAAGAAAAATATTAAAATACCTGGACGGCATTAGAAACTTTACAAAAGTAAACTAATTTTTTTCCAATATGAGAGATCTCTCAATAATTGGTTTAGTTTTGCAATGAAGCAATCTGCCAGAAATCGCCTATAAAACACTGGGGTGCTTTTCAACAAGACGGTAAGCTATTTCAAAAATGCATAGAACCAACAATATATGACAATGTTTGAGATGGCTGGAAGCAATTGATAGGAAGCCATGTGAATTAAGGTTACCGATGCTTATTGGTATTCGCCAGCATCATCGAGTGCTATAGTAAGAGACACTGCTCCCGGACATCCCTTCATTCAAGGTTTCAGATATACCTGGGCACCAGTGACAGTAAAAAACGCGAAACTTAGATCGAGGGTACTCCTGGTAATTGTCTCCAACAACCTAACTTCAATTTAAACAGTGACATAGATGGTGAGTATGCTAGACTGGTATGAGTATGTTGCAAATTAACTGATGAAATCTCATCGGCACTACTGAATACATGACAAATGACACTAAATACCCCCCCCTAGTGTTTCAATTGTTAGAATTCTGTAGACTAATCCACCTGTCGATAAGACAACAAAATATAAAGTTGCTTCTTCAACAGCTATTTACTTAACATGTTGAATACAGTCAATGCAGTGAAGTTCAATGATTAGTCAGTCAAGTATATTATTTCAGCACAAAAAAATAGTAATTGCATCACTTCTGATAACTTTAATACGGAGATAGACAGTAATAAATGTAGATTAAATAAAATTAAGTTGTTAATTTATAAAAATAAATAGCATGCAGTACATCAAAATGTCAAATTGAATTTACCTGTCTGGCTAGTCGAGTTAATTCAGCTGACGGATAGCTGATAATTTTTCATCTTCTAATCTTAACTGATGATCACTGCGTATGCGTTCAGCCCCGATTTGAATATCATGTTGAGTACGAGTCAATCTATAATAGGTAAAACAAAACACACATTTTCGGATTAAAAAATAACCGAAAGAAATTGTTAGATGGAATTAATTTCAAATTATAACTTTGTAAAATAAAAGGTGTAAACAGGTATTCAGACTGATTACGCAATAAACAATTAGAGACGAAGCAGGAAGAATAATAAGGTCTTTAGAATAATAACTTGCAAGTGGCTTAGGGAGAAAGAAAATTTGTCAATTTTTAACATTTGTGTAATGACGATCAAATTAAGGAAAATGATTGTACAAGTGTCTTCTGAACACACAGGTTGGACTTCTTCAGTTGTATTCAAAAGATAAATTCGTAAAGCAAAATTAAGATTAGCTGGAATGCAACAAATAACTTTAACACCAACTTCATGCTCAGTATTCATAAGTTGTGATAAAAAAGAGCTAAGAATACATCTGTTTCTTCAAAGACAAGGCAGTTTTACGTTCGACAAGTAAGGATAAACTGCCTGATTTCGCCTCTTCCGTGTGTATCTGCCAGTTTACCTGCTCTTGTAAAGCTATTTACATAGGGCGTACAGTTAGACGTGTTAATCATCATTATCCTACATGACTAAGCAGGGAACAAACAAGGTCTATTCGTAGCTCCGTTTTAGCACATTTTGTAGATACTGAGCATAAAGCTGATGCTAAGAAGTCATTTAAAGTTATCCATCGTATTCCAATTAGTCCGACTTTTGCTTTACGAGCTCATCTTCTACATACAGCTAAGGCTATCAGAATCTACATGAAAAAAACAATTTCCCTCTTCTCCCAAAGCATTAACAAGTTATTATTGTTTTCAAGATCTTATAATTCTTCATACTTCATATTCAGTTGCTTACTGCTTAGTTAATATGAGCATTCATTTACTCCTCTTACTTTCCAATAATCATGCACTATGTAATTCACTCGCTTAACTTCCGTAAACCTTCTACTGTTTAACTGCTTCACTATTTTTTCTCGTAAATTGTCACCCCCTCGACATACTGGTATTGATTAATTATTGCTGGCAGATTTATCACTAGTAGATTAACAAATATTTCTAGGTTGAATCACTTTGTCTTCAAAATGTTGAAGAATCATTTAAAACAAAAGAGAATACTGAACAGCTGTTTAGTTCCCGTTAAGGACTTTCTTTGGGAATGCACAACTATAGTCTCACTAGAAGCGAGTACAACACTCTAAGCTACTTTACTAGCATAAAAGCGCTCATGAACTCTAACTAAGTAACAAAGAAGGCGAGACAAGACACGGAAGCCAAGGTGTGTTTTCAAGTGACCAAGCCGCTATATATATATATATATATATATATATGGTTTTATATTTCCTAACCAATCATTAAGCGTGTAATTTTGCCTTACATGGAACGACATGAAACAGAATGTTAAAATATACATAGCATTCTGTTGCTAATGCAGTAATGGACATTGGGAATATGTGAGAATAATATTCCGCTGGAACACATTGTCTGTATCACACCACCACAACTTCGGTCAATGTAGGAGACAATACAACTGAATCTATATTGAAGTAGATAATAATTATAAATAAATTCGTACATCAACATAAACACACACAAACACACACACAAAGATAAATCATTCACCTGAAAAATAAAACGTTATATTTATCCTCTATGCACTATCCGGCTGCCCGGGTAGTGCATCAGTAAGATTATTTCATCAGTGCCTTAAAGACCTCAAAAAACCCTTTTTTTAAAATACATTTCTTCAGTAGCCTACCTTGTCTCTAATTCACTTAAATTAGGTAATAGTTGATTATACTCCAGTTTCTTTGTGTTAACAGCATCTTCTAGTTGTATCAGTTGCTTCTCAAGACTTGATTTATCGGATTCTAATTGTTCAACCTAAATGTAACACAAAATAAAAACAGATGAATGAAATACACTTCACTATCTTTATTGACTTATGAGTCAAAATACTACTGCTGATATATTCATTATATCTAAAAAGCAGAGGAATACCTAGATAAAGACGGATATTCTGGTCATAATCATATGAGATTAACAAAATAATTCTCTATACAGACTTGATGCGAGAGTCAAGTCTGGTCTACTCTAGTGATGAAGAGGTCTCGTCTAGAGGAAATGAAGATTTCTGGCAAACAGCAACAACAACGACAGGCGACAATCAGCATAAATGGGAGACATCTGAAAGAACCAACCTCCTTTACAACCTACCTACTTGGGAAGCATCGTTTCAAGTACAGGCAGACGGAACTGACGAGCATATCAAAGCAAGAATCGGGAAAGTAGGACAAGATTTCATTTCTCTCAAGTCTGTGGTAAGGTCAACAGCACTCAACATAAAAAATGAGATCCGGGTTTTCGATTCCAATGTGAAGTCAGTAATACTATACGGATCAGAGACTTGGCGCGTCATAAAGAGCATCAAAAACAAACTACAGCCCTTCATTAACAGCTGTCTTCGCTCAATACTCAAGATCAGATGGTCGGCCAGAAAAGATCAGCAATAACGAGGGATCTCTGGCAGTGAGCGAACCGAACAGGAGCCGACTGTGCAACATATAAGCAGGAAGAAATGGAGGTGGGTTGGCCATACTCTGAGGCAACCATCAAGTGATATCACACGCCAGGCCATCACTAAAGGGGAACCCGAACGGGAAGCGGCGAGTTGGTCGTCGGTGCAAAGGTGACTTGGAGGAGGTCATGTGAAGAGGAGATCAAAGGATGTGGTCAGATGTGGAACTAGGTGAAAAGGTTGCCAGAGAACCGAACTCAATGCAGACGTGCGGCTGAAGGCCTATGTTCCTCTAGGAACTAAAGGAAACAATAATAATAATATAATAATAGGGACCTGATAGCTGGTGCATAAGTCAGGTAGATACTACAGATTTAAGTTCAAACCTCCAGCATATGTCACTTATAAAAGATGAGAGAGTTATCGACGATCAATGTAACGCTAGTGAATGATGCTTCTGTTTGTCAATTCAAACAACTATACGCTGAACACTAATAGTTACCTCACCAGGCTGAGCAGTTAATCGAAATTCAGACACAGCAACATGTTGTGACGGTAGAAGACAAAAGACTTGGTGAAGGAATCTTTATAGGGAAATTGGTATCGCTACGAACCTAGATTATATACACCTTATCTTCAAATCACCATTTCCACAGAAATTCTGTGTTGTGCTACTTCTCCCTTTCGTAGTGTTTCTTTGTCATCCTTTTCACGTCTTCCATGTTTCTCCGCAACGCTGAATCATTTGCTTTCTTTGGCGTCAAATCTTCTCTGTGCTATTAGATATGTTTATGCCAATGAACGTCTCTTTACGTACTACTGACAGATGTTATCAGTAGTGTACAGATGTAAGGTGTTTAATAGAGTGGTTCAGATATAAGTTCACAGTTTTTTCCGTTTTATCACATTAAACCATGAGGGGAAATAGCTACAAATGTGTTCTCACATCTCTAAAGATGAAATTATGTAAATTACATATAGCACCGGTATATCTTCTGACTTATATTGGAAATTAAAAAAATTGTTTGCTTACTTGAAGATTAGTTTTTGATAATTTGATGCGTAATTGTTCTAAGTTTTCATCAGCCAGTGATTTCTCTGAGCGTATCATATCCAACTGAGACTTTAAAGTATCATATTCACGTTTAGTTTCTTCATATTTTGAAACAGTTTCCTTTGCCTATTTAAGTGCATAGAGGATAAATTGAAAATATTTATATACATGAAAAAAATAATGGACCTACAGCAAAGAGAAGAAACTTATTCAACAGTGCTCACTAGTGGCTGATTATAGGATGAAATGGTCTGAAATTGTAATGGGAAGTCATGGTTAGCGAGATTCACCAACATGGGCTTGAGGACAGATACTCTCCGACGATATCGGCTGGTGGTTGCAACATATGTAATAAAATGATAAAGTTAGAAATGGCGGATCGTCGTATTCCATCCTAGTGTTTAAAAGGTCAACGAGTTCGCATTGTACCCTGAGAAATTCAAGTTCGACCACTGGTGGGGTGAGTGTTGTTGAAGAGCACCAAACTGAGAGGAAACCGCTTTCCAGAAACTTCTCGGTTTTCAGTGTTTCTCCAACTGAATTCAATTCGTGACCAAAATCGAGAAGAGCACTTCAAACACTCAAACGAACTACTTAAACAACCTATCTTCGCCTGCACCACTATCATCTCGCTACCATAAAGGCTTTCACATAACAAAATGCCACACACACAAACATGTCTTTAAATCATTATTACTCAAACAATGTACCGAAAACTGACCTGCGCTTTAAGCATTGAAAGCTGTTGATCTGAATCTTGTATATTAGATTCTAGTGTGGTAAGTTCTGTACGACGTTGGTTAACTGTAGCTTCCAAGGTGGCTAGATCGGCAACCATACTGGTCAAATTTTCCTGTTTTGACTTTTGTGCAGCTCTACAAAACAGGAAAGTAAAAGGTATAAATTTCGTTCAGCAGACTGGGAATATTTTGCATGATTGACATATAAAAATAGTCGGGGAGTCGTGTTAGAGAAATTCAGTCATGACATCTGGATTTCTATTCAAGTTTCTACCGATAGAAACTGTCTTCACAGGAAAGTCTTACTGAAATTGTCTGTAAAAAATGAGGAGATTATGAAAACCAACTCGTTATTTTGAATTTTTCTACATATATTTCTTAAGGAATTATGGTTAATATTACAATTGAACTTTGTCCGTATGGTAGAGTATAACTCTCTGTTAGTTTATTTATTTCACATGGCACAAAGTGGTACAGTATTGTATGCCAGACGAAGTTTTCCTTACAATTTATTGATTAGAATCAGGATTAACATGGAATCGAACAGTCGTCGAATATTCGCAGATATTACACACAGTGATAGAAAGAATTCCAACATCGTTTGGTGGAGGTGCCTCTATGATAGGAAACAAGATGCACATTCATCCCTATTTGGGACTAATCAGATGGATATACCTGGTGTCTCGAAGCCAACACCCACCGTTTCAAATGCCAAAGAGTCACCCACTATACCAGCAGAAACACAACAGCTACATCTTGTGCAACAGGCATTAGTTATTTGTTTAAGGGTTAATTTGGTATTTCCCGCTGAGTGATTACATTGAACCGACCTCTGACGACATAGGTACTTTGACGATATCTGAGGATTTGTGAAGACCACCACTTATCGAGGATTGTGGGTACGTCCATCTGATGAATCCTAAATAGAAAAAATGCGCATCCTAGATCCCACTACTAGTGACCATTCACCAAGTACCATCATGTTAATCCTCAGACATCGTTGAAGCGTCCGTACTAGGGATCAACATATCCAATATAATCAGTCAACGGGAAACACGAAATTAACTTGAACAAAGAGTTCCAAAAAGATAATGGCAGAAAAAAACATCATAAAGGACATGAATTACGTGAAAACAATTTTTGTTAACACCAGATTCTGGAAATGAAAAGTGAAATTTAAAAAAACTGAGAACTGATGAACAACGAAGTAGGAAATAACAATTCGCCATTAGAATTATTTATAAATCGACATATTCTAAGAACAGAAATGTCTACAGTAAACAATGTGCATTGCAGAGAGTTACATATCTCTCTTCATCGTAGTTTGAAAGATTTTTACTTCTGATAAAATATAGTGATATTCTCCACAGTTTAACACAGCTAATCAATAATATGTTTGGAATTTCTTGCTGGGACAATTTGAGTAAATCTTAAATTGACAGTCATCCAAATGATGTAATAAGTGACAATTGAAAGTGAAATTGAAAGTTGGGCATAGGCAGTTTTCGGAATAAATTTCCCCAGATTACTAGTACGGTGCTTTACCAACTTGGCAGAGAGAATCAACAACTGATCAGGCAACCACTTCAATGCGTTATATTCAGATGTCATTTGAATGAATGAATGATAGGTAACCGACTGTTTAACTTCTTCGCATTCCTTTTCCTGTTAAGTCTTTTCCTGTCAATTCTAATCATACAGAATGAGGTGAAAAGGAGCAGGTTGTTGATTCTTGGTGAGCGAGGTAAGAAATCTGTCAGCTGATTCTTCAAATCCTACGGTTATCTTCAGTTCGGTCGTAGAATGCTCGCCTACTACGCACGTGGTCCCGGGTTCGATTCCCGGCAGACGCACTTCCAAACCTCACCTAGTTTGCTAGCTGATACTAATTCTGAGAAATGGAGAAGGTTGGGTATGAGTCTGGTTACCTCACCCGGTAAAAACAACACCATAGCAACTGAAACTTGAAGACCTCAACAAGATTGGAGCACCATGTTCCATTTGGAACGCAAAGGAATGGAATGAATATAAATAACATCTACTCAACCTTATTTAGCAAGGTTGATATTTGATTCCTTCAGTAAATAATAACATAGGTTAAACATTTCGATTTGTCAATTAATAATACCGTAATATGTATATTAACATAAGTAATTGATCTCACTTACTCTTTTTCAGATGATAAACGTGTAACTTCTTGTTTTGCAGCCTTTAAATCTTCTTGACAGGATAATAGTTCGGATTTTAATCGACCTAACACAGTATCTTGTTCCTAGAGAATTTCATTTTTTGAAAAAGCACCAATTAGAACTTATAAGAAATAATGGACATAATTCAAAAATACACAAAAATAACCAAAAAAAATACTGAAAATTAATTCATTGGAAAAATTGAGACAAAATGATCACGATAGAATTCTATTCATGAGTAACAACATAAGTAGTACCTTTCTGAACATACATCTAAGATATCAATTTGATTTGACATAGGGAAATTACTTTTAGAATAGCAACGCTTCGTACTCAGTAAATTTAATCAATAAAGTGGAAATCGCATAAACAAAAGGTTAACTTTCAGGTTAAAAAAATAATTTATATTAATACAAATGAACTAGAGGGTGGAAAATGCCCAGAAACAACTAATCATCATCAAGGTTGAATAAGTTGTGTTCTCTGAGCTGCTTGGTTTAATCGCGAAACTTTTATCGTCCTTCTAGACAACATCTTCGGAGTAGGTTTCAGTAAAAAATGGACTGATTTAAATCCTCCATGATGATGTGTGTGTTGGTGGTACAGTGGTTAAGACTCTCGCCTACCATGACCATGGTCCGAGGTTCGATCCGCTGCCGACGCACACCTGATATCTATGGTAGGCCTGCAGAATTTGGGCTACCGATATCACATGCTGAAAATTCCATGCTTGTACCGAAAATATGGTGTGGAATCAAAATGTAATAAAAAAAGTACAAGTATGCAATTTTCAGTATGTGATATCGGTAGCCCAAATTCTACAGGCCGACCATAGATATCAGGTATGCCTCGGCAGCGTATCGAACCTCGGACCATGTGCATGGTCGGCGAGAGTCCTAACCACTGTGCCTCCGACACTAATACAGTGTGGAAGCAAGCTGTAATTAAAAATATTAAAAAAATAATTGTACCTCTTGGCAACCATTGTCATGACTGGTTGTTGATTTACGTCCCTATAGCTCATTTTTATTCACTTGGAATTCGAACTTTCTTGTCATGTGATTTACTTTTTATCAGCTGATAAATTTGGTCTATAATAATGTGTTTGTTAATTGCCAATTCACCTGCGTACCAGGCTTCTAGGAATTCCCTAACTGCATTTTTGGTGTTTCATCGAATTAGAATTTCTACATTATCCCAATCAAATTGGTGTTCATAATTATCCATATGCATTATCCAGCATTCTATATTATTGTTATTAGCGTTAAATAAAGTGGAAAAAACAACTAAAAATGACTAAATACTCAATAAAAAATAAAGAACAGAAATCAATAAACCTATAAAATCCATCAATTAAAAGTATTAACTAAAACCAGTGAATGGTGTGAGGGCAAAAATAAAATACACGCCCAAATTTCATCTTTTTGAAAAAACACTTTATACCATTAAAGAAACAAATATAATTAAAAGGTTTAAGTGATACCAACAACAATAACAACAAAGCTATCAATATAAACAATACCAAAGTTTGCATGTTGAAACTATACACCATCAATAATAATAATAAAACATTAAATAATGAACTAAATAGCTATTCAAACTTACCTCTAACTGAGTCTCCAATTTCTTACGTATCTTCATACCATGTCGTAGCTTATTCTAAGAGTTAATAAATAAATTTTTAGGAAAAGAGGATGATAATACTTGTGCTAGTAATACTAGATGCACAAACAATAAAACTAAATTATATGTACGTGCCAAAGCACATACGTTGGAAGAATAGAGAGAAACGAGTAGTGTCCGCATTTCTGAACAAATAACCAAGAACCTAAGACTAAGGTGCTCATAAGCGTTAAACAGTATGACTGTAATGCACACCATCTATTGGGCACTTATTTATTTTATTAATTGCAATTTTATTCCTTTACCTTCCCAGTAGAACATAGGGCTTCAGGCCAGAGCTTTGAAATTTTCATAGCAGTGGTATTTATTTTTACAGGATGGGGTTGCTAGCCTTATGCCCAACTTTCCCTCTTTATCAGTCTTATTACAAGCTTAGCAGGATAAAGGAATAGCGTCGGCTGGGGATCGAAACCGGGACCACCTGCGTGGTTGGCGAGCATTATATCACTGTGCCACTGACACCGACTATTGGAAACTGGTCATATAATATGCACAACCTGAAAGCAGTCGAATAATCAACAGACAAAAGAAACCTAGCCTGTTGTGTTTTACTGGGGCAATTTCCATCAAAGGGTTTAAAAGACAGTGCTAAGTCTTGCACCACCTTGGTGACTAAATTCGGAAAACAAAGTTATACAACTTTGATTACTTCATGCATACTCCAATATTTTCAGTTCTGTTCAAAGAATTTTGTTTCTGATGTCATACAACTTACTTCTTTTAGCTATTTTATAAAAACATACTTTCCGTTGTTACGTAACCTATTGAATTGATATACTTTTTCTAGTTAAACTTTGTTTCTACCAAAAAAAGTGTTTTGAATTCTGCCCTTTCTTCAAGAATAATCGTCTATGTATTCTATAAACAACCAAGCCTATTAACTCTTAATAATTTAACAACGTGCATCATTTCGGAACTATGTTACTAATAGTTCCTATCAGTCACTCCTTGTCATCCAGGAAGAAGTACGATCAAATCTCTTATGTAATTTATATTTTTCTATTGCTCAGGTTGTAGCCAGCTGAGAAAAAGCTGCCAAATAATAAACAATGAGCTCATATTATATATATATATATATATATATATATGTCATTCTTGCTCTGTTTAGGAATAGCAATATGCCATTGATATTAGTGTAGATGAAACAAAATACGATTTCTACTTGATTTTAGAATGAAATTTATTTAGAGATGCAAAACATGATCATGTTACACATCACCATGTGAACGTGAAAGTTTAACATTCACCAAAACGTTAAATAAAAATAATAATCAGTTTAATTAAGCATGTCGACTATACTGTTAATTTGTACAAAGAAACATGCGGATCGATATATTTTCCAGATATACTTTATTTAAACTGAAATTCGAAATTTGCGATCTAGATAGATCGAGTTGAAATTACAGTACAGCTTCCTTTGAAAACTGGAATCATTCATATCACAATGTGATCTCCTTGATAACATAAACAGTAATCAAGAAAGCATACATAAATGCGCCGCACCGTATACTACTGATTGATTTATATGAGTAGTTGCATACCACCCACATCAACAAGTATTGGTTGCAAGCCAGATCGAAATAATCTTAACACTGGACAACCAACAGTAGTATATAGAGTCATGCATGTATGCTTGTTTTCTGGATTGACATTTATGGTATCATACATATTATATATTGCGATCTAAATAATTTCGGTTTCCAAAGGAAACTGTGTAGGCCACAGCTTCATGAGCCTGGATTTGAGAGGTGACATTGAAGCAGAAATTCTTAGAAAAAGCCTTTCTAAATGTCTGAAGAAGACATTTCAAACAGCCACCTTACGTATCACGTTCGCCAGCGGAAAATTCATCCAGTCTAACGTTAAGGACAAAATAATACTTGTGGTCACCTCAATATGTATTTATCAGTTTTCTTGTTCGTATGGAGCCGTATGCAACGTCAATTCCTCGAATGTATTCTAGAACACCAACGCTGATCACCGCAATTACACTGTCAAGTGAAAAACCATCCAGCTTGGCTAGCCAGAGGAGAAAAGAAGAATACTACTGTGACGACAGAAGCCAATGGTCAGGTAACAGATCTTTTATTGAGAAAATCAGCAGATATTTGTTAATTTTTAGGTACATTGTCATCTGCTATTGGTAGCAGAGAAGCAACGTCTCCTGAATGGTTGTTTTCCTGCTAAAGGTTATTCTGTCATCTGTTTTTTGCTGTTTCTTATTCTGGTGATGTATCTGCGAATCGTATCCGCCTACGCTAAGTCTGCTGTGACTGATTGTTGAGTTCCTCAAGGTTAGGCTTTGTTCTTCTTTTTCCTAATCACCAACATTTGGGACGTAAGCATTGACGTCAAGTGTTGTCTACAACTTCGGCTTGCAGATAGCTCTCATCACGCTAGCAGCTCCATCGTTTAACACCTTGTCAACTCTGGACATGGAGCACCTCTGTATGAATGCTTCACAGTGCTACACAGAATCCCTTACTACTGTAAGAAAAAACCTCGAATACGCCACCTATACACAGCTGGATCATTGGCTATTCGGGATTTCAATCTGGACCTCTGCATTCAAAAGCACCACATACATTCCTTAGCCTTACCGTAGCCAGAGTAAAGTTCTCACTATAATTTGGCTTTTATCAGGTAAGTTTACTAATATTATTCTCATCATCTTTATTTTATTCTCAATCTACTAGTGTTTATTAGTAACATTGGGTTTTCATACAGATTTTGCAAAAACACTTTATGGTCTTTCAACTAGTTCTTGTCCACTCTACACAAACTATACTGATTAGTCATTTTCTCACATTTATTACGTCATGCCAACTTCTGCCCCCTTTTTTAATTTACGATTACTCACCCCATCTAGATTACACTTCACATTATGTAGTACGTTTTTAAAGACAAATTCCACCAGTTTCTGAATGGTTTCATGAATTTATTGAATATAATTACAGTTGTACAGCTTATAAAAAGGAATCCTCAAAAAAAATTTTCTTCGCTGTTTACGCCTTTGTCTTATAAAACTACAAATTGCAAATCAATTTTCGTGTTTGATTTAATGTATAATCAGTTTGTCCAGGAAGCTAGCCTGAATTTGAAGTACTTGGATTGGTCCGACTCTCTGAGCTGAATCTAAAGGGGTACACTGCTGATGGGCTGAGCCTCAATCAAGCGACATGGGCTTCTGGTGTGCTTCGATCATTTCGACCTATCTAGGAAGATCTATTGGTTGGTGTGGTGTGTGTCTAAATACTAATCTCAGTTAATCAGTAGTTTGTGTGGCATAATGTATTTCACCTCACATTAATAACGATTAAATAACTATTACGAAGTATAATTTCAGATACGTCGTCCAAAACATATGCAAGATAATCGGACTCGTTCGCACACACACACACACACATTTATGTAATGCATATGACCACAGAAAACAAAACAAACATTATTACACTTTGAAAAGTGATACTTTACCAATAAATCCAGTGGACAAAAAAAGGTAATGGTTCAATGAGGCTAATAAACTAAAAAAGTACGCAAAAACAATACAGTAGAAAGCATAATAAATCAGTGACTAAGGGGAATGAATTCATTGCTAATACAAACATCATACACACTAAATTTTTTTCTTAGCAAAAAATAGTTTTCTACTTATTGATTAACTGTTACTTCTTACGGAAAGAAAACATTTTGACAGTCTGTCGTAAGAGGAAATAAATAATGTGTGGTAGGTTTAAAGAGCTTATTCGAGTATGGACATTTTGAGCGATTGGGCCTTACTTCTCACCTGACCGCCTAATATTCTAGCATACGCCCAATGAAGAAAAATGACAATGATCATAAGTTAGATGAAACTATGACTTAAAAAAATCATTCTACCGTATATTTCGATATTTATTCTCTTCATACAAGAGGGTATCGAGTGGAACATAGAGTTCCAAGCTTTGATTTTTAGGTAGCGGTGGTGCTATTTTAACTTGATGTACTTGATAGTCTCACCTCCCACATTTCCTCTTTTCCAGGTTTCATACTGAAGAGTGAAATAGGCGAGGTTAAGGAGTGCATCATTCAGGAATCGAACTGGGAACTTCTACATGGATGGTGTACATTCTACTGCTGAACTATCAATGCTTTTTTTCTCTTTCACGTTCCCCAGTGGAACATAGGGCTTCAAGCTAGTGGCTTGAAGTTTCTGTAGCAGTGTTTACTTTACAGGATGGGGTTGCTAGCTTCATGCCCAACCTTTCCTCTTTACCAGCATTATTTCTGGCTTAGCGAAGTAAAGGAATGCGTCGGCCAGGGATCGAATCCCGGATCATCTGCATGGTCGGCGAGCATCCTAATCCCCGTGCCACCGATACACTATTTAATCAGTTCATTAACAATAATAACTGAACAGATTCAAACAATTCTCCAAACTTTCAACCATTATGTGTTAATACAATACATCTTATACAATCATAGGTTTTAATTCATATAGGATTATTCAAGCAATCTCTGAAAATATTTGGAAGTATAAGGTGCTGTTGAACAATAGTTTCGTAAAAGTGATAATGTGGCGTGTGCTACTAATATGATTTATCAGTAGTACATGAAGGCAAGTTCATCGGCAGAAAAACATATCAAATAACGGAGAGACACATTTGATGGCAAAGACAGCAAATGATTCAGAGTTGCGGGAAAACATGGGAGACACGAATAGAAGACAAAGAAACACAATACGAAGGGCACAAGTAACACAAGATGGAAGATCTGTGCAGATAAGGTGTACATAATTTCGCTATATAGACATACCGAATTCCAAATAAACATTCCTTTACCAAGTCTCTTGTCTTCTGCCGTCACAATAATCACTCCTGTACATAAGTGTTAATCTAAATAAGATAACAACTGATGAAGATATTAACATATGTATATATGTCAATATCAGTGTCAGACGGATAGACGCTATCTATCACGTTGTTACACCTCATATC